TAAATTTTGCCATAAAATGCAGATAATTTTTCCAATAAAGAAAGTAATTTTTGCCACTTTTGGTATGTGTGTGTGTGGGGGGTGAGCATCAAGGAAATGGGATGAGGCATCTGGCCCCACTCTATAAAAACTGCATTGCCCCAAACCAAAGGCTTAAATCCTCCTAAAAGAGATAATTTTACAGACTGTCCCGCAAGTAGATATATTTGATGACATTGACAATGGAAGTCTCTTTACCAACTCTCAATCTTTTCTGCCAGGAATGCTTTCATCATTAAGGCATTAGGTTGCCAAGCATTTCACATGGTTACATTAAAAGTGTGTTGTCTGATACACTAACATAATAATAACAGGCATCTGAGAAAATACATATGTGGATAATGACATGCACGCTTGTCCTCAAAACTGTTACCATTTTTGTCTTAGTAGTTGAACATAATTTTATAGTTATAAAATGTTCTAATAATTACTGCCTTCATCTGCTGCTTTGCAGTCCTTTAAAAACATCTAGGCATGCAATTATCCACTAAACATTTATTCTTTGCCCACTATATACCAAGGCTGCACAAAATGCTGGAATCTACTGTTTTTGTTCATCCAGTCAACCATTTAACAATTGAGATGACAGCCAAACACCATAAGTAGATATAGTACTTCCCACTTTAGACCTATGCAATTCAAATTTGCCTAAGATAACCCTATTTGAATGAAAAGTGCTAGGTTGGTTTTAGTTTGCAAGGGTGGCAAACTAAAGTAAGAACACACTATTACTGGTTCTGGCATCTAAACAAGAGTGGAAACCAGTCTTCTTGAAAAATCTACATGAAAATCAAAGTTCACCTTAAACCTTATCCATTTTCCTTTCTCTATCCCTCTCCTAATTTTGGCAATGCTTCTTCTCCATTATTTATTGTATTCATTTATTCATTACATACATTCACTCACCAATCAATTATTTTTCTTTTTAATTTCTTTATTGATTAAGGTATTACATATATGGCCGTATCTCTGCATTGCCCCCCTACATCTCCACTCATGCCCTCACCTCCCTGCTGTCTGTGTCCTTTCCAACCAATTGTTTTTCAAACAGAGTAAGGTACTTTGCCAGTGGAAAAACAATGATATGAAAGAGAGGGGTCCTGATTAAGGCAGCTCCTGATTCTTTTGTTAAGATAATCATGTCCAGGCATCAGCACAGTATAAAAATGAACATTATAAATGCCATTTAGTGTACATAATTGTGAGAGCTCAGAGGATGTAAAATATCCAAGTTATTTGCCAATTGAGACCCGCCTTCCCTTGAAGAGCCTCTTCCTCTCAACCAGAGGTTGGTAACCATTGCTGCACATCAGAATCACCTACAGAGTTTTCAGAAGTCCTGATACTCGGGCCAAATCCAAGTCCCGTTTTAAAAAAAAGTCTCTGGACTATTGTCTGTGTCAATGGGTTATGCATATACGCATATAAATGCATTTGTTAATCTTTTCCCATACCCTTCCCCCTTCCCTCTGGGGAAAATAGATAAACTTTTTAAAAAGTTTATAATGGAAACTAAGAAAAAAAAATATCCAGAAAACGGTGCAGCTTAGGTTGAGACCAATGTTCTAAATATTCCCTGTCCTTTTAAATCTCATGTTACCCAAACTTTAATATCACTTTCCCTCATTACCATGGAGAGGAGCAGGAAAGAAAAATAACTTCAGGGAAAATATTCACTGTTCTCATTTTCTTCACAACAATAACAAAACCCCACAAATAAGCAAACAAATACAAAGCAGAACCCAACAAAACTGTCCTCTTCTGTAAGTTCATAAGACAGGAAATGAAAAAAATTCCCCCATTCTAGCCAAGAAGAGATCTTGACAATTAGTGGTGGGAAAAGCAGTGAGGAGGCAAGAAGGGCATTTGTGGCCTGGGGTATATGGTTTGAGAGATTCAGCAAAGAAATGTGATCATCTGAGGAAGGTGAGACTGAATAGGTTAAACCTATCTGATTATCATAAAAACGGCAAACGGTTTTGACGAGAGAGGAGCGAACTGCAAATTGTGACTCTTTGATTACGGTTGTTGTCGGTCAACTCATGAGGAACCCATTTTCCAAACTTTTGGACTTTGCCAAGTGCACGCAATTGATTGGAAATTGTTTTTTGTGAACAATTTAAAGTTGTCGCAAGCTCTTGTTGGGTAATTTGAGGATTTTGCACCAAAAGAGCTTGAAGAGCTTCTTGATCAAAATTGGACACACGGCCTCGACCACTCTTGTCATCTAACGAAAAATTTCCCTCGCGAAATTTCTCAAACCAACGCTGGCATTTTCTGGTGCTAACTGCATCTTGACCAAGAGCACTACAGATGTTTTTAAAAGCAGCCTCACTTGCTTTTCTTCCTAATTGGAACTCGTAAAGCATGCAGTGCCAAATATGCTCTTCATCCGCCATCTTCTTAGCCCTAGTTTTGCAACAAAAACCAAACCAAACACAAACTTTTTCAAGCAAAACTTGTTAATTGCACTTCACACGTTCTGTAGATACCACGTGTTTGAAGGTTATGTCAATACGAGTCAACGCCAAGCAAGATTTTAAACGAATGTTAAAAAACGACATTAATTATTACTAGACCCAATAGATGCACAGGTCTCGGACAAAGGAAATGGAATAGTAGAAGGAGGTCTGATCTATTTTGACAACAAACCCTTAGTATTTATTCCAATAAGTTAAACAATATTAGATCAGTGGCCAAATTGTATTTTTACAATTTGTAATAATAAAACAACAAACAAAGTCACAACTCATAAATCAGGACTCAGAATCTGACCCTTACGTGATGGATGGGGGTGGGCATTAGGGAACTACTACAAAGAGCCCCCCATTTGGCCACTATTATGAAATTGTGAAATGTGTTGGCATAGATCTGCTGACAGCAAATAAAAGCTAAGTGCAACAATGTAGGAAAGATTTATTTTGAAATGTTCTGTTTACCTCTGGTGCCTGAAAGCATCCTTTCTGTTTTTCCTTTATACTATTGATAGTGACATGTATTAAGAAGCCTGGCGATAGAAAAGACCCAGATCCCAACCCTGGTTCCTTTTTAACCACATGTGGGAATGCGGGTATAGTTTAATGTGGGCTTCAGATTTCTAATCAGTGAAATGGGGGATCATAACTGGTTGTGAAAATTAATAAAGAACAAATAATACAGTTGGGGCTCTTAGTCCTTTTTTGTTTGCCTGTTGTAACTGCTGTGATCTCTAAGGCCATTCAAAGTCTTGTAGATGTAGGAAAAATACGCCTTTTATACGGCATTCATGGAGTGGGTCATCCAGTCTAAATATAGGATCTTCTGTAATGAATGAACTTGCTGAAATCATTGGGGGCAAGTGACTGAGCTTTTTCAATCCTCCTTTGAGGTCTTATTATACTAGTAGTTTAGGGCTGGCAAACTCAAAGGCCAGCAGGGCCCTTGCAGGCCTGAGGCTGGGAAGGACTTTGGCAAACCGAAGAGAATGTGTTCTCTCAGGGGCAGCCTCCACTTAGGTCCACATTTGTTGGCATGAAGGAACTTAGGCTCAGCTGTTGCCAGATTTGATTTTTGAAGAAAAGTCAGATCCATATTTAATGTAAAATCTCCCACTTTTAAAGTACTGATGACTAATTTAATTTTATTTCAACATCATGTGGGCCAAACAAAACATCTGCATACAGCCTGTGTGCCATCAGTTTTCAACCTTGGGATTTTGAAGGTCTTTTTCACGTCCAGTGTTCTCTACTTTATGAGCCCAAGAATAATGATCTAGATCTCTTAGGAGAGGTTCGCCCTAAAAGTTGGAAATTAAGTCATGCCCCCACTTCTAGATAAGTGTTTCCTGTTGTTAGTGTTTCACCATCTATAATTAGTTTTACCTCCCAGGCATTTCTTATGCAGACGGGTTCTTGTTCCAAAGTTAAAATATGTTTCCTGTTATGTGCTGAGGTGCCTAGACTTAATTTTCTGCATGTTAATTTTATCCTTTTTGTTTTTTTTAAAAACACATCTGTTGGCTGATTTCAATCCCCCAGGGCCCAATTTTATTTTATTATTATTAATTTTTTGGTTAATCCTTACCAGAGGATATTTTTCTTCCTCATTTATTTTCAGAGAGAGTGGAAGGGAGGGAGGGGAAGAGAGAGAAACATCGATGTGAGAGAGACACAAAGAGATAGGGCCTGTAAGATTGCCTCCCACCCTAACTGGGGCCTGGATTGAACCTGCAACCCAGGTGTGTGCCCTTGACCAGGAATCAAATCCATGACCCCTCAGTGCACCGGCTGGTGCTTTAACCATTGAGCAATGTTGGCCAGGGCCCAACTTTATTTTTCACCAACCCTTGAGAGGTAGCACTTGAATGAACTTGAACATTTGTAATGCTTAGTGTTTTATAAAAAATCTTAAACACAATTGTGCCCCTTGAAAATTATAATGATAAGGCCCTAACTAACCCCCAATGTGACTAAATTGGGAGATAGGGCCAATAACAGAGGATTAAGGCTAAGTCATAAGTGTGGGGCCTATGGAACTGGTAAGAAGAGGAGCAGATACTAGGACTGTGGGTACACAGAGGAGACAGTGAGGAAGTGGTCATCTGCAAGCCAGGAAGAGGGGGTCTCCCCAGAAACCAGCCCTGCTGGCCCCCTGATCTTGAACTTGGCCTCAAAACTGTGAGGAAATAAATTTTTGCTGTCTAAGCCACCCAATCTATGGTATTCTCTTATGGCAGCACTAGCAAACTAATACACACCTATAACTAGCCTTATGCTTTTATTATCTGATGTCTTTGGACTTTTAGACTTCTTAAAAATTCCAGTCATTCTCACAGCAACCTCATTTTTAGACTCATCTTCTCATCTGATTTCCTGCTGAAGATATTATAGAAATTTCTGTGCCTCTAACCAAAAGATTATCTTTTCTGAGAAACATATTAAACTTTATATATAATGGCAGAATATAATATTTTGATAACTCACCCATAAAATGTGAGGTAAAGGAAACCAATCCTTTTCCCAAGTTTGACAACTTCTCCTCGTTTGTCAGATGCTCCAGTGAGTCGCACTATGCCTACTTTCTTGAGGCTGGAGAGCCACTTGTACGCATGTTCATCATTTTTTAAAACATCTTGAAAATCCAGAGTAGGTAGCTGGAGTTCTGAGCCCCAGTACTGACATTCTGTGAATTAAGAAAATGAAGAAACCAGATGGGATTTCTTTGTTTTTATTTACAGTGATAACCTCAGGGGAGGGGCTAGTTCTTTGAAGCTGCCTTTTGATTCGTCATTTATTTTCAGTCATATTACAAATGCCTAAGTTACCAGATTTTCTTCCTTGGAGCCATTCTAGTCTACTTATATACCTCCCTTGCACCCTACCCTGCTTTCTACTATGCCTGACCATGACAGATATTCATTATTCCATAGTTGTTGAGAGAATGTAGTTTTGCTTATGGATAACTCTTGATCTGTATATCCGTCTGGACACTGCTTAAAAATAACCTTGAACACTTTGTGTTTTAACAGCCAAGTCATATTACTCAACTCCAAATAGTTGATAAAATTGGGATGGTGGCCTAGAACATCATATGCCTAATCTTGACAGTGTGGGAAGTGTTTCTTGTGGTAGGTGCAGTTCCTTCTTTCTTATGTTGTCTGATAAGATGATTTCTCTGGGGTTGCATTGTCTTTTGGAGTCAGCAAAAGCTGGCAGTGGGAAGAGAAGTTGGAAGGTGTGGTCCTGGGGTGCATAGACACCTTGGTGACAAAGCCACAGGAGATAGTCAAATACACGCCTTAGCTCTTTGATTCTTTATCTTAAATTCTCATAAAATGTTTGCTTGAAAAAGAAAAAGGAAAAAACACACAACAACAACAGAAAGGAAAACAAGTATAAAAAACAATTCCATTGAAAACTAAGATCTCCCAAAAGAGGTGGAAACAGAGTAGATGGAATTTTGCCAGGGGAAATAACTCAGACAATACAACTGATTCAGGAGAGACTTAACTTGAGCCAATCCATTTGATTCCTTTATTTTTTTCAGGAATGAATTTACCTTAGGAAGTAAAACTTTCCTAACAATTGGCAGAATGAGAAATTATGATCTCAATATCTAAGCAATGCCTCACTTTTCTGTAACACCACTTTACAGAAAACAACCTTAACACTCTCCTCCCATTTAAGAATGAGGAATGGGTCAATGTTGTCTGGTAGTAGCTGTAGAATGGAAATCATTCCTTCAATATCAACATGGCTTTTTAAGGAGTCAGATAGTGAAAAGATGCAGGCAAGTGCAAGGAGCCACTTCCTGCTCTTCTACCAGCTAATGGCAGAAGGACATTCACAAAGGTGAGTAGGTATGTACCTGTGGGAAGACCCAATCAGACTATGCATGCATATATTGCCAAAGTTTCTGGGTTATTATGCATAATAGCTTGCATAATGAGGCAGAACTTCTGGGGCCTAAATTAAAACCTATTAATTAGTTCCTCTAGGTTGCTGAATTAATACTTTTGGGTGTTAATATTGTTTAGTATTTTATACATTCCACAAGCCAAAGTAACTTATTGTATCTTCTCCAGAAGTCGAGTTTATATCCAGCCATTTGTTCTTAACTTCTCCTTTTATAATTTCTCCTTTTAACTCTTCTCTCTCTTTGGGACCAATAGAACTGAAAAGACAATAGCCTTATCTGCTCTTTTTTTTTTTTTTAAAGCATTGTTTATCAAGTGCTTCATACACTTGAGACAACCTTAACTGTAATGTTAACCAAATCACTTTAGCAAAGAGAAGCAGCTCAGCACATGGGTCATATTGTATTATGCCAAAGCAAGTTGGCTAAAGTAATATTAACAGACAACAACATGTGAAGGTTTGGAAGTAATGATCATACTTTTTTTGGGGGGTGGGGAGGGAGGGAGGTTGATTTAACATACAAGTTCTTGGTATTCCTTGATTATATTAGTGACTCAACAATTATTTGTTGGTTTATCTTTTCAATAAGCCTAATATTTTACCACGTCAAGGCACTGTGATAGGTGGTAGGTTTTAAGGAGCACATAGTCTATGGGAGAAGTAGACCTGGGTACTGACAATATGATAGAAGCTATAGTTTAGGGATGGGGAATGTTTTTTATCTGCCAAGAGCCATCGGATATTTATAACATCATTCACAGGCCATACAAAATTATCCACTTAAAAATTAGCCTGCTATATCTGGTCAAACATTTAATAAACTCCCCTCTTGCCTTGGCAGGGCCAGACCAAATGATTTTTCAGGCCTTATTCAGCCCATGGGTGGGATGTTCCATACTCCTTCTATAATTGAAATATGTTCAAGATACCACGAAGGTATCAGAGAGGCACTCTACTTGACTTTGCTGTGAATGTTCAATTATGTGGTTGTTTGCTTCACTTGCTCTTTCTGTTTAAAGTCTCCAGATTGTAATATCTGATACCAGTCACGAAAGTCTGCAGAAAGAAGGTGATACATGTCATAAATAATGCTTATTGGCTGCCTCACTAGGAAAGTCATTTGGCTTCCAGTTAGGAGAAACATTTCCTGGGCAAAACGTCAGTGTTAAGGACATAAATAACAAATCACCATCTCTTCTTTCCAAAGCTTACACTAAGTAAACCGTATCTAGAAACTTGAAAAATATTTCAAACTGCTTTAGGGCCCCAAATGAAAAGCACAGGCCCATAGAGCCTTAGAGGCAGGTGTGACGTTAGGGACTCAGCTGGCATCTTCCCATGGCTTTAGGATTTCCCGTCATCATTAGTTCTCATTATTGACCAACAAGATGGTTTAAACCACAACCGAGGATCTCTTAGTTCTTGGACACTGTGATGATTTAACTGAGGACAAGTTGTTGTTCATTGCTGGGTAGACTGTTAGATTAGTTTTCTACATGGCCATATAGCAAATGTGTTACCTTTATTACAAACTGTTAACTAATTTACTGATGAACCTTCATTAAAATGTTTAGAGAAAAATCTTATCTCCTGGTGACAACAGAGCAGCATGGAAAGTTGGTATGCTCCAGATGCAGTATTGCCAAGCAGAAATTCTGAGAAAACTCAGAAATATTCTGCTGTACTGCCCAGTACGGTAGCTACTAGCAACAACCTATGGCTATGGAGACTTGACATATGGAGACTTGGAGACTTGACATATGGAGACTTGACATATGGAGACTTGACATATGGCTATGGAGACTTGACATATGGAGACTTGACATATATTAAATTTTAAAACTTAGTTCTTTAGTTCCACTTGCCAAGTGGAACTAAAGAACTAAGTTTTAAAATTTAATATTAACTAATTTAAACTTAAACTTAAGTAATTATATGTGACTGCTAATAGATGAGACAGGATATGAATAAAGTAAATTGCATGGAGGCAAAGAGACCTGGTTCTAGGTATTAATTTTTACCTCTTAGCAGCTAGTTTCTTGGTCTCTCTCTGAACCTCTGTCTCATAATTTGTAAAATAGCCATCATTATATTTACTTTGCAGGTCTTTTATTAATAATGCAGTGAGATTGTACAAGAAGCCTAGAACAGTGCCTGACACATAGTAGACTAATAGTAATAATAATAATAATAATAATAATATAAAAAGTATAGCTAATAATTTCTGAGTACTTTCTTGGTATAAGGAGTAGTGCAAGGTGCTCTCTATATATTACTTCCTTTAATGTCCATGATAAATATATGTGAGAAATGCTTTCAGTATTTTCATGTTACAGAGAAGGGAACAGAGATCCAAGTCCTATACTAATGATTTGCAGAATTAGTCAGTCAAATCTAGGTGACTGATTCCAAGGTCTGTAATTTTAACAACTACACATAAAATAAACATTGGATGCCCTGAAATACTGTCATCCCATGTATTTTTATGTTCCATGCCTGAATGTCCATAGCTTTTACTGTCCCTTATTGAAGGATTCTACTAGATAAATAAGAAAGCAGAGCAGTTTGCAATAAGGAACACTGTCTGAACTTGTTCTAGCATGGGTGTTTAAAGATAAACCTTGGCTCCTCGTCAGGATTTTACATGCAGAAGAAAACATGAGTAGGCTCCATTGCACAACTCTTCAACAGCATTGCTTTTCACCTGTTGTGAAATGAGCCACGGCCTCAAAATCAGCCGGCTCCTCTACCTTATGCCATTGTAATTCAGGGATCCATGTCAGTTTGGTTTTACTTGAGGCCAGTATCACTTTCCAGAGAGCTTTGGTGACCATGGCCAGGAAATATAATAAAGAGAGATTGGAAAAACAATTTCACTAGATGTAAATGTTTTTAAAACTTTGAGTTTGTATTTTGATCCTTTGGGGGATTCCAGAAGCATCTGCTTTGGGCACACACTAAATACATCTGCATACATTTATAGCATGTTTCAGTGAATTTGTTTCTACATGAGTCACTTTCCCATGATAGAATAACATGCACACACAGTATGCTTGCCAACACACAAGTGCACACACACACACACACACACACACACACACACACACAATACCCTTTGTTTGAATACTGCAGAAGGAGTTAGAGTTTTTCAATCACGGTTGTACTCTGCATATGTAAAGTTAACCAATTTCACACAAAGATGCTGGGTATTAAGCAAGGTTATTATCAGTCCCATAGAAGCGCAGTGTGAACTATAAATAATCCAGGCCACAGAACTTCACTTTCAAGAGTGTGATTACAAAGACTTTTAAGTTCCACAAAGTTTGCAGTGTTCCAGCTATAGCTCTCATTGTGGTGTGCCCTGGTCGTAGAAATCAGCAACCGAGGGCCACAACCCCGTGTGCAACCTGTGTCCTAGCATGAGCCACTCATCCACTTCGTAACGCTAAGGGTGACTTTCAGAAACGGCACCGGGACTCACCAGTTTCCAAATCTATCATCACAGTTCGAACGTAAGCCACTCACATGTCCATGAGAGATAAACTGTATTTTTATGAAACCCATGAAAGATAAACTACATTTTCTGAAATCCACAGAAACCTTAATACTGAAGATGTAATTTAGAAGCATCTTTTTCAGTCTCCCCCAACTGTAAACCATGATTCCTGGGGTCCCAAAAGAAAACCCGTTTGACTAGAGTAAATCATTTATCAGGCAGATACCCTGAAAGCTAATTGAAATGTCCCACCTGGGTCTGGATACATA